CCCCAAAACCCCAAAACCCCAAAACCCCAGTTGTTCATGACAAAATTGAAAATAAAATCTATGGACAGGTACAATGGGACTATTAATTCACCTCATACTTTTAGGGGAACGGTCTCAAGCTTCTTTCATACAGAAAAGAAATGTGAAACAATTACTGCAGAGGAGAAGAAGGCATTAGTAAAGTCTATCACAGAGTCACATTTAAAATTTACTCATCCTGAAACAGATTTTAGATCAACTACTCAATCCTGCTTCCTTCCTACTGAAAATGAGGGGCTTGGAGAAGCCTTAAGAGAAGGTGATAAGATTCATGCCATTCATAATTTCCCTCGAGTCCTCCAGGAAAGATATAAGGGATGAGACTATACAGAAGAAAAGAAGCTGCAGGCTAAAAGAGTGGCTAAAGTCCCACAAAAGGAATTAATGGAGCAAGCCAAACTTAACAAATTGATGAAAGCTTATGAGCATCAGAGCCATGCTTTGAAACATCCCCAGTTGATCAAGAAGAAAGGCTCAAGTGTTCCAAGATTGAGGAGGAACAAAATGAAATTAAGTGAGCTAGCAAAGTTTCCTCTCAATAATGAGACAGTCAAGGAGCAATTTGATACTGAATATCTAAAGGAGATTCTTGAAGATGAGCAAGAAGCAGAGAATACGAAATTCAACTATACTTTGAGCAAATACTGACTTGACAATCACTTCAATATTGGTCTCGAAAGAGGTTTGAAAAAGCATATTTTGAGGAACAACGGGTGCCCAACTAGAACTTCATCAACAGCAATCCACACCCCACAAAGAAAGTTAAGCCAATCTGAGAAGTTGCTTATCAGAGCTTTGAAGAAATAAATTAGCTAACCCAATAGGAGCAGATAAGGTCTTAAAGTACTTCAAAATGAACTCAAATGGTGAAATCAAACCTAAGTCTGTTCAAAAGAGTAGATTTAACCTAATAAATAAGAGACTTACTAAATTATATGGGAGTTTGAAGAAGAACACAATGAAGACACACTTCAAGAATGGAGCGAAGGATAAACTATTTACTCAAAATCCATTAGCTAAGAAAAAGAAGAAGGATGTAAAGCCTAAAAACCCTAAATCAAGAACTATCTATGCCTCTGTTCCTAGGCTCAATATTGATGAACTCTATGAAGATGAAGATGAGGAGTACCTTCCTGATTTTGAAATAGATTTTCAAGAAACTGTAAGCCACTATTTATAAAAATTTAGGAATCCTTAAGAAAATTCATGAAAACAAGCAGTGTTAAATTTGGAAATAATAAGTTAGCTATTGGCCAGTTTAGACCTTACGGGGAGAAATATAAGCAAGGGAGAATCCCTGAGCTAGTTAGTCGTAACTATGTGGATAGTATTCCAATGAAGCAATTCACTGACCCAAATAACAGAGTGAATATGTCGAGATATAATACTTTAAGTGATGAGACAAATAGATTTATTACTCCTAATCAATGTAGATTAACTCAAACTACTATGAAAAATAAGAAAAAGGTTATTTTAATGAAGACAGATCTTCTTTCTACTCATTTCAAACTTGGCAGCTGTAGATCCCCTAACTTATCAGAAAGCCAGTCTAATTTTTACAAGAAGAAGTCTGAGAGCCAAGATTTAGCTAGAATTAGGAACAAAATCAAGCATAAAGTGGAAAAATGTAGTCTAAGGGTGGAATAACTTGACCTAAATTAGCTTCAATATGTCTATCCCTAAAGGGGTTTTGGGGTTTTGGGGTTTTGGGG